GTAATATGTTCCATATTAACTAATAAAGATTTACAGCGTATAAGCAATTTACAAAAAAAAAAAAAAAAAAAAAAAAAAAAAAAGATACTGCAAAGAAAGTTTTTTTTTGTTCAATTCCTTTTTTCGCTATTTTTATGATTAGAAATAGTATACTTTCTTTTTTTGTGGCCTGTCTGGGCTTATCTCTTTGTTTTTTTTCTTTTTTTTTTTACATTTTCTTTTTCCCCTTTCTTGCTTTTTGTGTTTTTATATGTGTAAAACTCTTTTTTTTCTAAATATACATTCTGGTATGTTAGAACAGTGTTTTCTTTCGCTTTTGGTAAAGAAAGTTAAAATGGAGAGATAAGCTTTTGGCAGGCTGACAAGCTCTCTGACTTGTATATAAGTTGGTGCAACAAGTCACAGCTGGGCATATTAATTGCAGTTGAGTGATGTTGGGCTTACAATTTAAATATGCTTTAGTAAATTTCTGTTCAAGTTTTTTATATTAATAAAGTATTGTATTTAAGCTCCAGCAAGACAGTCAAAGCTCTAAAAAAAAAAAAAAAAAAAAATTTAACTTTAAGTAGTGCAAAATAAATTAAATATGTATTTGTAGTATATATGCTAAATTATTAATAGGTTAAATAGAGTATTTAAATAAGAAAAATTGATTATTTTTAATATGAATCTTAAAAGAATTAAATAAAATATTTAATGATTTTTATAAAGTGGATATGTATAAACACAGTACTTTAAAAGGTTAAGTTTTTTTTTTTTTGCCTAAGTAAAAAATGTTGAATCATATTTTATATCACTCTAATTTAATTAATTTAATTTATATTTGATTTGGCTTGTATATTTGACTATTATAGTATCCAATTAGTAATAGAGCTAAACGATAATATATAGTTGTTAGTGCAAAATAAATAAAATTTAAATTGTAAATTAAAGTGAAAATAATAAAATATTTAGTATGTTAAAGTAGAAATAATTTAATTTTTAATAGAATACTAACAATAATTTGACTTTAAGTAGTGCAAAATAAATTAAATATGTATTTAGTAGTGTATATAGTAAATTATAAATAGATTGGGGTTGGGATCCAGCAGCCTAGTGGTTTAGGTACTCAACTCTCCACAAGCGGGCTTTGGGTTTAAGTCCTAGTAGGTACATTTACCTACAAATATTTAGAAGTATCTACTGTGGGAAGTCCAAATGAATACAGGTCTAGATTAGAAATTTTCAAAAAGAGGTTTATTGTAGAGTAGTTGGCACTATATGTAATGGGGTTATTATGGAAGATTCTATTATATAAAGGTTGTGTATATAAATTTACAATTGGCAAGATAGCATCAACAACACCTAAGGCAGCATTGGAAATCTTGTTTAGAAGAATGACTAGCTGGTAACCAGGATTAGAAGTGGTAAAAAACATGGTGAACACAAAGAGACCTGTAATAAAGAATTGGCCTTATCAGATTTGGAACACCTCTGGCAGTACCAAACTTACTAGCCAATAAGAAGTTGAAGCATGGAGGCATGTATGTGTTGATAGATCTAATGGGCTCTGGTCATATCTATATGAGAGCCTTTGGGCATTAAGAGAACTTGGGAACACCAATAAAGTATAGCTGATATAAGTGCATGCAGTGGTAATCGGGGGCTACAACTGCTAAGAATCTCCATAAAAAAATAATAATACACCTGTTACCTCTGAGCCTTATGATACCACCCAACTATATTAACTACTAGAAGCATTCTGCGAAACATATCTGGGGACTTATCACTATATTAGAAAGTACAGTTATTAGCACAATTACTAAAATTAATACGTTAAGACCTGGGTTCCAAAGTTGCAGGAAACTAGCTAGTTATGGCAGTATGCAGACTTGAGATACTTACCCAAGCAGCTGCATGGCTTGAGATACAAACTCCTAAAAGTATACTAGTAGAGATTAAAGAAGTAATTCTCTATTAGGCATACCAAACTAGAAGCAACAAATGCCTACTTGGAGCAACATATACTGATTTGGGAGTTGTAAGAGTAGGTAATGTAGGCAATGTGGCAGATATATGAATAAATTGGCAGTTGGGGAGGAATGTACAAATCCAAGTTAGCTGTATAGTGGGTTTTAACTATGGATAAATAGTTTGTATACCTGATGTTTTAGTCTTAGTACTTGATATAATATATACATGTATAGACACTATCATATGTCAATTATTTAAGTATTAATAAAATCTAAGTGTGAGTGCTACACCCTTATAATAATAATAAAAAAAAAATAAAAAAAAATATGAATAGATTAAATAGAATATTTAAATAAGAAAAATTAATTATTTTTGATACAAATCTTAAAAGAATTAAGTAAAGTGTTTAATTATTTTTATAAAGTGAATATGTATAAATGCAGTACTTTAAAAGATTAGATTTTTTTTTTTTTGCTTTATTAAAATTATTGAATCACATTTTATATTACCTTAATTTAATTAATTTAATTTCTTACTTATTTTGACTTAATGTGTTTGAGATTAAGGGTAGAGGGTACTATTTTAAAATTATATATAAACTTAATAGTACTTTTTTTTTATATTTAATTTTATAAAAAATAGTATTAAATAAACTAAATTTTAATTCTTAAGAGAAGTTTGTAGAGCGGGTCTTTTTGATTCTAATGGTAGTAAAATCATTAAAATTGGTTAAAAACTCAGCAAGATATAAAATTTTAAAGATTAGATATAAAAATTTATTAATAAAATCAATATATAGATTAGCTAACCAAATTTAGTGATTTTGTGTAACCCCAGAAAATTTTGAGCTAACCAAGAAACGTTTTGTGATATATACAAGTATAGTTTTTTAAATAATATAATAGCTCAAAATTTTACCATAATAGATAAATTATTTTATTTATATTTTATAAAATTTTGGCTAAAATTAATTACAACTATAAAAAGTTTTATTAGTAGCACATTATCAATTTCTATATAAATCTTATTGTACCACTAAAATCATATGACAAAATGATCTACATACCCTCTACCCTTAAATTAAATCTTAAAATTATTTCTCTTTTTTTAAATTGACAAGTATAATTGAAGTTACTTCTAGCTCAATTAACCTATTGCAATATATCTTCAAGATTAGGCATAAACATAATTGTTACATATACCACGAGTATAATTTACAATTCTTATTGTATAAATTCTGTATTTATGTAGTAATTATTTATTAGGTAATTTTTATTTAGACCAAGCTAAATAAATAAAACAATTAGTTATAACTATTAACTAAAAACTGCAAATATAAATATACTTTATTAAAGTATTTTAAAGCTTTAAACATGACACTTTCAGAAAAGAAACACAGAAATTATATCTGCTTGAAAATTAGGCAAGTCATATAAACAAATTACCAAACTTGTTAGTTGTGATCCCAAGACTGTTAGAGATATGCTTGACCAACTTGAAAACCTATCTCAAGTATTACTGGATTATCAAGGAAGACCACCAATCTTAAATAAATTAGCACAAGATCATCTAACACAGCTTGTTTTAAGCAATTAGCATATTTCTAAAAGACAAATTCAAGCTCCATTGGAACAGCAAAAAGGCAAAGTAATAATAATTTTTAATTTTATTTTTTTTTTATTTGGATCGATTTTTTTTTAGTTAATTTCTCAAAGAACTATTAGTTGTACTCTTTGCAAAGCTAACCTGGTCTCATATATTGCTCATATAAAACCTTTTATTAGTGATAAGACTAAAAAAGAGCATCAAGAGTGCAGAAGTGCATCTTAATTGGACAGCTGAAAATTGAAAGGAAGTTTTCTGATCAGATAAAAGTATTTTACTTTAGTCCATTCTAATCTATATCAGCATGTATAAAAGAGGCCAGATGAAGAATTTAATGATAATTGCATTGTTTTAGCAATCAAATCTAAAGGGATTATGATATAGAGATGTTTTTCTTGATGGGGTCTTAGCCCTTTTATTTGTCTCCATGACAGTATTACAAGTGCATTCTATCATATAACACTTATTTGTTATACTATTTCTAAGCTTCAGAACCAATATCCCAACAATAATAGGATATTTTAGCATGACAGTGCCTCAGTCTACAGGGATAAACCTGTTAAAAGGTATCTAGTTAATAAATATATTAAAAATTTAAATAGCCTCCATATAACCCAGACATTAATTTTATTGAGAACTTTTGGTCTGAGGTTGAAAATAAGCTTCGAAAATATCGCCCAAGACCTGGCAACCTTAATGATCTTGAAAGAATAGTTAAGGAAGAATGGGAAGCATTATCCCAGAGTTATTATAGGCATCTTGTTAAAGGTAAAGTAGACTGTGTTAAAGCAGTATTTGATAATGATAGTAGTTATTTATATTATTAATTTGGATGTAATTATTCTATATATAAAGATTATTTGCTTGCAACAGTTTAATAAATAAATAAAATATAAAATAAATAAATAAATAAAATGTACAAAATAAAAAAATAATATAAATAAATAAATAAAATATAAAAAAAATAACTTAATAATAAAGGCCAGTTTCACTTTGTAGCCTTATGCTTATATGATCATCGATCAATTTATAGTTAATCAAAGAGTGTTGCAAACCTTGTATAGTTTGAGAAGGTTTATATACAAATAGTAACAGAACCTTTATCAATATTGAGACAATTAAGAATATTGGGACAATTAAGAAAATAGAGATAAAAATATATAATAAACGAAGGTAAATTTTAAAGTTAATTTTTTATTTAAAATGAACAAACTATTTTTATTGTAATAAATATATTATAACAAATTGACTTCAAGTTAAATTTAGTCTAGAAATTCTAGTTGTGTTGCTAATTAGACCAGATAAATTTGATTTAGTAGTTAACATTACATTCCTATTATAAAAGAGAGGGCAAAAATAAATAAATAAAAATTATATGATGCATTTATCCAAGTAAAAGAACTGTGTGCATACAATTTTTACAGTCAAAACTCTCGTAATCATTTTTTAAAGAATGTATATAGTAGTGATCACAGATCAGAATTTTGGGTTTACTAATTCTCCAAGTTCCTGGTTAAATACAAATTTTGTTTTTATTGAATAAAATAAATCACTGATCAGATAGCTTGAAAATTAATATAAAAAAGAATCGATTCGAATAATTGGTTTGTAATTGTTATTTCCATAAAAGTTAAATGTTTATTTAAATATTTATTCCCATTTATACTAATTCTCTAGCTCTTTACAATCGAATAAAAAACACTTCAGTTTATGATAATTCTCTATTAACATATTTATGCTCTTCTATTACATTACTAGTATGTAACCAATACAATTAGATATGCCTTCGCATGCTTCATTCCTTGCTATTATAGTTACAAAAGAAAATTTCACTTCTCTAACTCAGGGCTTTGCAAATTTTATATTCATAATTTTCTCATCTCCGCTACCTAATTTTATTGTGTGAAATCGTAAACTATTATTATCTGAAAAAAAATATATATTAATAATTCATTTTTGCAAATGAAAAAGTATTACTTTTTTTTTTTTTTACCTTGCTTAATTTTTGTAACTATTATAAATATATATCGTGATAATGTCTTTAAATAAAAGTTTCAACAAGAATGAACTAAAAAAAAAATAAAAAATCGTTGAGTTATAAGCACTATTAATATAATTAATACATCCAAAAAATTTATTCAAGCTTTATCATTAATTTAATGCTATACAATTTGGTAACTAAATTTAAAATCGGGAACGTAGAGTTCGAACCCGTTTTCAATACGTTAAACCCTGTTTTTACATACGAAATTTAAACCGGTTCCAATCTTTTAGATGACCACTTTTAATCCCGTGATCTAATAAACAATATTATACTCACCGAACAAATCAACTTAAATAAAAGGCGAACTACTACAAATCTAAATCTGCCTGAGTATGAATAAATTGTATGACAACTATATATTATTTCAAATAATACATTGATAGATATCAATATAAGTTCGATTTTAAAACAGTAATAATCATATTTGACGATGTTACAATTTAGACGATGATCAACACCATTAAATTATGATATGCATTCATTCAAGGTCTGTCAGTGTAAATCTAAATGCGTAAATATTTATCCAAGTTATAGTATACTGATGCAAATCCCTACTACGTATATACCGATACGTACTATAATCTTGTAAACGAAAAGAATACCATTACAATACAATATACTACTTCGTTCTAGCTCCCTTTAAGCAACTCATGCGCCTAGTTTACTTATAAAAAAATTGTACCACACGAAAATTATGATAAAATAGTAATACATGCATTTAAATTATTTAAACTGTGAATTCGGTCTCTTTTTTTCTTCCCGCATTTAAAAAGTAAAAATGAATTATAATAATTCGGATTATCATGAAAAATCAACTGATTTAGATCCTTATACTCTTGGATACAATT